TCTTTTTACCACCATGCTTGCTCTGCACTTTCTTTTTACCACCATGCTTGCTCTGCACTTTCTTTAGAGCCATGCTAAAAAGCACACCAAAAAGCTTCACAGCCAGTGTCTGTCTGCGACCGCGATCTCGGCTACAGGAAGCCACAACCACGTCTCAGAGCAGGGAAGATGGCCGCGGGTCGTGTTCGTCACCCGATGCGGAATTCGCGAATGGAAGCAAAATTTTGCGAACGCTGCTGTTTGTGAACCAAATTGTTTGTGAACAGAAGCGTTCATGAACCAAGGTATTACTGTATATGAGAAGACCTCTGCATTTCAGACTGCCTATTGTATGTACAGACTGGGGATATGGTGTGCTTTGGATCTGAAGCTGAAAAGGTCCTTGACACCTATCAATACCTCCTTAGAGAAACCATGTTTTTTTCCTGGGCTTGCCCAGTAGCCACACAAATCCAGGAAAATAAATGTTAAGTGAGCTAAGAAGGTGCTGAGGGGGTCCTTTGTTAATTCAAACTTTTAATTTTTCTGGGACTGCATGGTACCATGTGAGCCCAGGAAAATACCGAGTTTTTTTTTTTTTAAAGAGGCACCAAAAGATGTGACATGTACATCCACACCTACTCTAAAGCTCCATTTCAACTTCAGATCAGAAGCACAGCACATCCTAAATGCAGACATATACCCTCAGTGAAAGTTACATGTACAATGTTGTAAGAATCAGGGCTGTTTGCATGATGAACATGACTAGTTTACTAGAACGAGGCACTTACTTCCTCTAGATAAAAAATTTCTATTACAAAATCTTAACAGCTAAAATTAGACTTTCTGGGGAAGAAAAGAGAGAGGGCATCAGTGATCTGCTGTTCTAGTAATTGTGTGGTTTATGTAGGAAAATTATGAATACTGAATTTGGGAAGGCAGGCTGTAATCATGCTTCAGGTAGTCTTTTGTTATCTGTCAGCTCCTAAACTAATATTTTCATAAGTCTTAATGCATGCATTTACAGTAATTTTCAGTTTTTATAATTTTACAATCCCCCTTGCAGTGAGAATCCTAGAGAGAAACCTGCACCCTAGAAACTCAGTGAATTTTGCCTAATATTACCATTTCACTGAAACTTCTTGTCCAGTTTTGGTACATTCGGTTTTCCTGTTTCTAATAACTATAAAAGTGTGAACATATAAAACCTCTAAGTACTTCCATTCCTAATCCATCTGAACCCTCAAGTAATGGTCCCTGTTTTTGTCAAACCAACAAACTTAAAACTAGCCTATATCTATATATTTTAGGAATAATTACATGGCCAACATTTCACTATGATCAACTCTATGTCTTCCATATTCTCATTTATTATATAGATATCTGCAATGATATACATGGTGTAGAGTAAGAGAAAGGCAAATTGCTGTGCAACTAACTTCCATTTTCCTGTCTGTTGAATGCTCCTTTGAGCATGGTCCACCTGGGGACAAAAGCTGCAAAAATAAAATCCTAATATGGCGTATTCAGTAACAAGTTTAACAGATTAGCAACAGGGTATGAAATTGCATGTTTCTTACCAGTTTTCCCTTTTCTAAACTAATTTCAAATGCTGCTTAAGACTCAGTGTGACAGAAATCTAGAAAGTAGATAACCTTATTTATTATTCATTTATTTAAATCTAATGTATGGCTGTCCATCTCACTGATGTGACTCTGGGTGGCTAACAAAAGTTTAAAAATACAACACAAAAAATGTGTATCAACGACAAACTAAAAACACAAAATGGTTGCTGAAGAAACCATATGCAAGCAATTACTGTCCAGATTCCCATGCCTGGGAAAATAGCCAGGTCTTCAAGATTTTCCACAGGTGAGTAGGGTCAGGGCCAACCTACTGTCAGGTGATATGGTATTCCAGAGAATAGGCATAGCCATAGAAAAGGCACACTTCCTGGTTCCTGCTAGATTACAGTCCCTGATCAATGGGACCCAGAACATGTCCCTCTTGCCCAACATAATGGGAAGAGGAGAGAAGATGGGAGTTATGTGGTCCCTCAGGCACCATCTGCCCATCCTGTTAAGCGATTAGCCACATACAGAAACACACCTGTGCTGATTACTTGAGTCTAGAAAAGAGTTGAGATTAGAGTCGGACACATTTTTCACACAGGAGTTGGCAGGAAATTATTAGTGTTGGAACTGGAATCAGGGAGAGGAGAAGAATATGGCTAGCAAACAAGAAGAAGAGGAAGGAGGAGAATGGCATGATGAGGGTTTGTTTCTCTGGTGCAAATATTCAGAAGGAGAATAGAATCTGAAGAGACAAGAAGAAATAATGGTTGTATTAGCCATGAGAGTTTGCCAACTATGTTTCAGTTAAAGCCCTTGATTAACTCTTTGGGGAATTTAGGGTAGACACACACAGTTATATTAGCAGAAGCAACATTATTGCTGGCAGAAAGATGGTTAATCTTGAAGTGGTAGAGCAGTTAGGCCATAAAACAATTCACTATATCCTTTGAAGGCAGAATCTGAAAGAGGGAGAGGGAACTGAAGCTCTGTTTGTGTAGCTGAATACTGCTTGCACAGTTATTTGAAAGAATCAGTCTCACAGACAAACTAATACTTTTCTATCCTGGATATGTCATGAATAAAAGAGAAAAAGAAACTCACAACATTAGGAAAAAAGAACTGGCCCCTTGAGAAATATTATCAGGTCAACACATGTAACAAACCAATATATACTACAGGGAAACTTCTTGCTACAAAGCATCTTCTTGCATAAAAGCCGCCACTCATTTCAGCAATCTTTCAAGGGCATGTGCACAGGGATGGAAATGTTTACCTACTTCATATTTTTAAAGGAGGCATTTTCCTGAGGCGAAATTCATTGTTAATATGGTGAAAGGCTACTTTTCTGGAGGAAAGTATCACAGACCCTGAAAGAATACATTTTCCACAGAATAATGAACCCCACAATATTTCTCACAGTCACAGAGTATATTTTCCTGCCCACTGGCATTTAGACAGCAGGGGCAGCAAATTCTCTCCTCTGGCTTGGCACATTTTATGGCAGCAATTTAAATGCCAGAGAACCTATTAAGAAATTCAGTCATATCTGAATATCACCAGAAACCCAAAACTGGGAACTACTAGAAGAAAGCAGTGGCAATTCCCTTCCATTTTGTTACCAAGGGAAGCTCAACAAAACCGTCTTTATTTTTCTATCCAAGCACCAGTGCAATTCTGGTATGGGATGCAACTAATTCAAAGACAGAGTATACTGACTATTATATAACCATGCTTTACATCAAACGAGATTACTCTGGGACATTCAATTATATACTTCATATCCAAAGAAAAGAGGCCTTCTAGGTTCTTCAAAGGAACTCTCTACTCTGGCCTCATCTAGAGGAATTAAAACAAACAAACCATGCCAACATATATGTTTTCCCTTGACTGATTCTTAGATACAACTGCGAGCTAACTGGCCACAGGGCCTACAAAGCAGGCACTACTGCATATCCACCTTTTGGATTATCATGAGTGACGTTCCCTGCATATCAGTACCACAGATATCAGACTGAGGAAAAAAACTGCTCCCTGAAATCAGAACTATCTCAATATGCTTCAGTCCTAGCTTTGTAAAGAAAGTAAGGATCCAAGATATGTTGGCTTTTCAGCAAGAGCAAGAAAAACAAGATTAGTTAGCTTTTTTGCTGTTATTGTTGCTAATGTTATAGGAGTATTTAAAGTTGCCAAGAAAAATAAAACTTTTTCATTATTTATTATAAGCTGTGAGCAAGATTCCATTATGCTCCTATAGGAATGTGCAGAACCAAATTCAACTCACTATCTATAAACACAAATGCATTTACATGTATTCTGAATGTTCAGGGACTCACACTCTTACGTTCCAGTCCTTCCCACTGGTATTTTAAAGGTTCTTATTAATTTTGTATAAACTGTGGCTATCTCTTCAGGAGAGTATCATTATATTAATAAATTCTATTTTAATTTATGGAGATGTTGAGCTAAAAATGCAGTATTTACTTAAAAAAAATAAATATATTTCAATCATTCTATTTACAGGAGTACAGGATAAATTTACTCTGCACAACCCATTAAATCTATTTCCACCTTTCCATCCCCCTCACCAGGACCCTTGAACTCCATAAATATAGACTAGAAAACACAGTACCATTTGCTGGTGAACTGCTGAGAAAAGGTTTCAACATGACTGGTATTAACTGTGCAGATCTGCAACCTTCTATTTATATATAAGATAATTGGCAAGTAGAAATATTTGCATTGCTAATTTTCTTCTATTAAGAACAAATCCAAGGTCTCCATAATAAAGCTTAATGGTTGCACTTAAATTGCTGTCCCCTCCCATCTCTTTCTTCTGATAGAACATTTCATCCCTACAGCTTACTAAATTCTCAAAAAGCTCACTGTGTCACTGCTCCATTATTACAGAGGTTGGTGCAACAACAACAGGATGCTGACATTAGAGACCACAGAGAAGAATACCCCCTTCAAAAAAAAAAAAAAAAAAAAAAACC